TATTGATTCGATCACAAAAACACTAACCGGGTATTATGTGTTTTTGGACTCCGCCCGCGAAAAACCGAATCCGGGTAACACATACGACGCAATAGATATTGTGGGCGACCTTAAAGCGTTACTAAACCAGAAATTTAATACAGATTATGATTTCACGGTAATTCTGCATGCAGAGTATTCATATCATAAAATATTTTTCATTGAGCCTTTTGTATTATTTTTGTAGATTAATGTGATAAATGTATTGAATCGGCTAAAGGATGCTCATACGGGGTTATCTAGTGATTGCTATAGCAACTTTATCTTTGTTCAAGGAATGGATCTATACTCCACCGTCGATTCTAGGGGAGAACAGTCTATCAAAGTTTGGAAAGACTTTGTTGACGACACGAATTCTGATTGTGATGTACTACAAATCGATGGTTTACCCGCACTACAAGCTATTAAACAGTACGCTGATAAAGAAATTGGACTTGTACGAGACATTGGAGTCCGTTTCAATGTGGCGCTTACTTCTCTCTCAGCAGATGGGACATCAGAATTTTCTAATTATTTTAGTCGACGCCAGTATTTACCGCCGACCGATGAAATTTCTTACACATTAAAGTGTAAAGGATCAAAAAAGACTGTTAAACGAACATGGACAGCCTGTGGAATAAGTAGTTCTATAGAGTCTGTAACCGATCCCGAAACATACTGGAACAAGAATTGTTTACCAGCCTTTTCTAATACACGACAGCTATATTACCGAAAAATTTCGACAACATTAAAAACGCAAAAACGACCAACCTCCCCAACAACAGACAACATCTGCAGAATAATTGGTCAAGATGAAGTATTATTAAATAAAGCTCAATTACTTATTAACCTAGATTCAGTAGGGTTCTACCATTTGAAGAAAAAGAAGAAGATCGGCGTATTGACAATGTCTTCAGTGAGGTTTGGCAACCTTATGCCAGGCTTCCAAAAATTTATTGATAAAGGCGTGAAAAAGGTATTATCATACATATCATACAGTGTTGCAATTTATCGCCACACCTTTTATTTTGAATTTACAGTATGCTCGATTATTCTTTAGGTTATTCTTGATCTGACCAATAACGATGGTGGTTACATAATTGGTGCACACTACTTTAACAATCTTCTCTTCCCTCAAACTGACCCTTATTTTGAAACCGATTTTAGGGTCAGTGAACTCATGCGATTGAGCATCCAAAAATCAAGCAGTTCAGATTTTATAACGTACCCCGGCATTTGGGTTGATCCACAAACAAAGAAACCATTTAAGGATGCCACAAAATTCATTGGAAATAACATATATACTCGCGGTGGAGTATCAGGGAGTTATACTTCGCGTTTCATTGGTCCGAAAGGGCCTTCGTCCAAAATAAACCTCCCATGGAAGGCGGAAGACTATGTTATCCTAACGAATGGATTTTGTGGATCATCATGCTCATTCATCGCCACCCACCTTGCCGAGGAAAACAATGTTGCCACCGTTTCCGTAGGCGGTCTTTTCAATACCCCGATGGCATATGCGTCCTTCACCGGCGGACAAGAATATCAGTTAAATTCTATCATAAGAGAACTAGAAAGGCTTGGTCTCAGTAACAATCCCCTTGCCCCAAGTCATTTGCCAATAAGTGCGGGCCTAAATTTTGTTATCAGAGAGGCATATAGCAGGTCGGATCCAAATGAGGTGTTAGAGTTTTTATATCGACCGGCAACAAAGCGGTTATACTATGATAGTAAAAGCGCACGAGATCCGAGTGAGTTATGGGCACAAGTTGCGGACATGTTGTAGCTTTTTTATTTAAAATATTGGCGTTATATATTTATCACGTAAATAATACCAAATAATTGATAATTTAAGAATATTGTTATACCACACAGTACACAATAAATACAGTATGGATGATACTTTACTTTAGCTTTTAGAGTTATTGACCGGTTAACCTATTTTGTATAACTCTAATACGAATAATCAGCAAATAAATACCGTATACGTACACAGTGAGAATTTATTCAAGTTCTTGAAATCCAATTGAATTTTAAATTAGAGTAATTTAAATAAAAATACAGTGAATAGAACGAATTTAGTTTAGCATTTTAAGTAAACAAACATGCTATACAATGCGTTTAAACGTTTAAATCGAATTCACATCGTAAAGTTAGCTTGCTACAATTTTAAAATTTATTATTATTATTATGCATACGTAATATGATGTGCAGTCGAAAAAGAATTTTGACGAATAATATTTTACAAACACGCATACAAAAAAAAAAAAAAAAAAAAAAAAAA